TATGTTAGACTCGCTAGACTACTTCAGAAACATTGTTCAGATATATTTTGTCAAAAAGAAAAAAAAAAAAGAGAGAGAGAAGAGAAAAACACCAATCACACAAAAATCTACGAAAGTTACACGGTATTGTAGAGGGTTCGGATACGTACAATATGAAATAGCTGTATTATGACATGGATTCTAGCACTAATAAAACAATTTGAAATTCATTCTCTGCGCTTGAACTTTCTTATCTTTTTTTTCTTTTTTGTTCGTTTTTTTGAAGTGATCACTGAATGTGGTCGTCAGATCTGTTCCATTGCTCGAATCAGTCTACTCTTCATTTCGTTGCTTTATACGTGAAAGATTCGTGAAAGTAAAATAATTGTTGGAATTTAAAGTCCGTAGAAGAAAAAAAAAAAAAAAAGATCTTCAATTCAAATAAAATAGCAAAAGTCACGGATTGTACCCTGCGACGGGAGATGGTCACCTGAAAAAAAAAGATGAATGCGCTTGGAATATGAAAAGAAGCTCATCGTGAAAATATGTCGAAATGCGACTGACAACAATAAAGCGCTTACATTTAGGTGAATAGATTACATGTATTTGTTAAGAGGCGTGTTGCTAGTTTACCATCGGTTGCACACTGAAAGTATGTACTTAAATTTATCTGTTAAAAAGTTTTATCAAAATGCCGGGAAAAAAATGTTATTTATTAATCGTAAGATACAAATCTGTCGACATCTATATCTATATACACGTACATATATATATATATATATATTATATATAGTATAGAGTATATTTATAAATGTTTAACAGAAATAATTTTCAATATCAATACACACTCGGCGATACAAATGTCATGAACGATTAAACTTCATTCTTGACATATCTATAATATTTAGCTTCTGCATTGATTTAATAATTAATCGTCGTTCGATATTAAAAAATTAAATACTGTACATTGACCGTGAGAGACAATTATTCAATTTCTAGTACATTCACAGTACGTTTCCTTTCTTCTTACGAGTATACATATATACATATATCGTTTATATAAAAGAATACACTTTTACCTCATTTCATCGCTTTATATTTCGATTATTGGATATAATGTATAT